AATTAAGACGCCGAATACAATATAACGTCACATTTCACATTCACTCCCACGCAATGGGGAGAAATATATTTCAGCTTTATCATTTCCGCGAGACAGACTGGCGCTTAAAAAGGACGTTCATGGGACCGGAGCTACTAGAGAGTACGAAAGAATAATGATATTGAAAATATAATGCATTTTTGATTAGGAAGGAGCATTAATAATGTAAGGCGGTTTCTAGACCGGGGAGGAGAAACGCGGGGGGAGGGCGCGTGGCGCGGCGCGGTGATATATAAGAAAAATTCATTTCTGCCGAAGCTCCAGCCGTTGTTCTCCCCGGGAAGAAGTCGAGTAAGTAATTTCAATGGAAATTTCACGGCGTCATACTTAGCTCCTAAGAGGATAGATGACTGGAAACCGCGCGGAGAAGGATTCCGCGAGGATCCCGCGAGGAGTGGAAACACGTTTTCAGGAGGAAGGAAGGAAAGCCCCGAGGACGCGCCACTTCGTAGGATTGGTTCTCCATTCGCGAAATTAACGTTTTGTTTTTTTTTTTCTTAGAAACAAAACGCGCCGAATGTAATTCGAGAGCGAATCCGCTGTTATTTTTGGTCGATTAACATTTCGCAAGACACCCGCTCGTCGCTCGACCGCAACAAATCTCGCAAAGCGCGTCCGATAATTAATTAATATGTTTGCAGCGCAATGCTAATTAACTGAATTGTGTAACGAGATACTCGTGACGGTAAACGACGCACTTGAACGATGCGCTGGTCAAACGACACGTAAAGTTGGATCGTCCGCGCGTACCGACCGCGACCGCATGTGACACACGCGCGCGTCGGTTGCAGTCGCATCGGTAACGAGTGCATCGCCGGAATGCGGCGAAAAGGGGGGCGCATATAATAGTTTCATTGCAGCTCGAGTTGCGCAACAATTTTTTTTTTTCGGGTTAAATACCGTTCGCTCGATTTCCACCGCGTGTGTCGTGTTTTACAAGCCGCGAACAATCCGCGCACAATCCGCGCGCGCACTAAGTCCGACCGCGTTGCCGACCGCATGACGCATAACGCGTCAGCCGCAGCTGCGGGACACGCGAAAAAGGCCACTTCGAATGCAACGATGCGGGGGTCGCGCAATAATTTTCTCGTTCAACGGCCGGGCAAATGGCGTGTTTATTTTGGCCGAGCCGCTAATTTCCATGACATCCGCTGGCCGCGAGTTACAACTTTCGCATATCTCGTTACTCGTCGCATTCGCCACGCATTCTTCTGCACTGCGGCAGTCTTTGTTTCTGATTTAAAGAATATTTTTGATGGTCAACGTTTGCCATTGTTTCGCGTGGGAAACGCAATTATCCGCGTCGCGCGCTGAAAAACAGCGGGATATTAATTATTACACGAGAATGAAATATAATATTCGACACACTGTATGTATTTTTGTCTAATTCGAATCCCGAATAAAAAAAACTCGGGACTACAACACTTTTCAATTTCAACCCGATCGATATCCCAATCCTTTAAGCGCGAAAACGCTCTCGTTAACGGGACGCGTTCCGGAAACAAAAAGACACCCCCACTTGACCAATTAATACGCGAGTAGTTCTGGGGCGAAATTGCGAACTCCTCGATCACGCTCGAAGGACTTCGACGAGCAGCTCGAGAGCCGTACCGGGCGCGATCGAGAGCTTCGCAGGGCGGAGCGATAAAGCCTGAAAGGACTCTCGGGAGAGTTTCCGCGCGCGCGCGCGCGCGAGTACGAAGATTTACACGGACGCAACGAGCAGAAAGAGAGACAGCGGAGTATCCTCTCGCTTTCCGGTGCCTCGAACTTGACGAAGTGCGGCCCCGAAGCCGCGGTCCCTCGCCAACGACTCGAAACACAGATACCTACATACATATACCACACCGGCTGTACCTCGGAACTCGACGTTCCCGTGGGAGGCGACGTCTTCTCGGCAGCGGTGACCGCACCACCCGGACGCGTTTAAAGGGACCCTAAGACGAGCTCTCTCTCTCTCTCTATCCATCTCTTCGTCTCCGACGAAACCCGAAGAGATCTTCACCTCTGTCCTGAGAGAGATGCCCCGGCCAACTTTGAACGACTTTGCGAATGCATCTCGCGGAGAGCGACATAACGACGTCTCCGTGATGCAGTGTGAATTATCCGTCGCTCTTTGGCTCGCGTCACCGCGGAAAATCGTTACTTTATATCAAGAGATTCTTGCGAGAGAAACGCGAGAGATTAAACGCGTTTCTCCAACGAGAGAAGAACGAAATGTATTAAATATTTAACGAGCGATTTTTTTAATTCAAAACTCACGACGTAATTGCGCGAATTAATTACGATCAAATTACTGTCAATAATTCAAATTTCGAAAACGCAATTTGAAGAATCTTATTTCGCAATTAAATCGAGAAGAAACGCAATACACACAAATTAACGGGATTTGAAATCAAAATATAAATAAAAAAATTTGCGCGGAAAATTAAACACATCGAACAAATAAATAAATATGTGAACACCTGAATTATTTCGCGCCAATTATTTTGCCGGGATCATCATCATGTATTACGCGAAGGTGCGCGTTTCGAACGGACGCGAGAGAAGGTAGTCCGCCTCGCGCTTAGGCAAATCGATGGCGTTTATGGTAGTAGCGTTTTGATCGAAACACGCGTCGCGCTCGGTGCTCACTTCCACCTCATCCCCGGTTAATCGAGCATGTCGATGACGCCGTATATCGATTACCTGCCGCTTACGGTGTTATCGAAACGCGCTTAATTAACGGAGAACAAACTGCAGCGAGAATAACGGCGCGAGTCGAGCGTTAATCGCGATGCGAGAGAGGAGCAAAAAGGGAGCAGTTGAGAAATTGCCTTCGTGTTATAAATCTTTTTCTTGCCTCCTTCTCTCCCTCCGCCATTTTTATCAAGGATACGCCGACCTTACAACGATACTTTATCCCACTTTCGAGGAGAGTGTTCCTTCCAGTGCTCGTGTGCGAGGTGGAAAAAATTTAAATCAACCGCGCGTGTCTTTGGCCTTCGTCGGCGCGGCTATAAACCTCATATACACGCGCGCCGCCGCCGCACATCCTCTGTAGATGAGAGATTAAATTCATTTTGATTCCTATCTTCCATTAGGTCTCAAACATTCCCATTAAACATATATCCTCTCTCTCTCTCTCTCTTGAAAAAAAAAAAAATGTACTTTTCTTAACCATTCGAATAATTGGACGCGATAATAGCAGCGAGAATTCGAGTTATACGATGAGCAGCTGGCCGAAATAATACTTGGAACTTCCGCTTGGCTTCCGTAGAATTAAGTGGAATTCGCCAGGGAGCGGTATTGAGCGGCCGCCTCTCTTCGATCGGGTTCTTTACGAGGACCGCGGGATCAACGAAAATTTAGGAGACGACCTTGCTCGACGACGCGTGTGTAGCCGTCGCGAAACACGGCGGCCTGTATTCCGAAGACGGTCAACGTTTTTATATATATATATATGGCGAACGGAACGACGATATGGGACGTTAAATCGAGGAGGCGCGCTCTCTCCTCTCTCATGGTGTGTGCTGCTCTCCACGTAATCCTCCGCCGCAACCTTGACCCCCGCCGTCGTTTCCACGCACGCAGTAATTTACCGCGAAACACGCGCGTCGTTACTCAGCCGTCGCTTTGTTCTCGGATTTTCTTCAAGTCGACGCCTGGGCCCCGAGATTGTTTCCTTTTTTTTTTTCTGCCTCGGGATCCTTTACGTAATGATCGATAATGACGGCCGGACATGCGCCGGCTAATGACTTCGAGAATGGAATGCCTGTGTTACCGATGCTCCGCGCGTACTGTTATTAAATTTGTTCCCGCGCACACATCGCGCGAAGTCGAAACTCTCCTCGCCGAGTGAGTTTTTTTTTACGCTTGTTAAAAAAAACAAAAAAATAAAAAAAAGACCATTTTTGCATCATCCGAATTCTTGTGGCAGTAACACAAATTTCGAACAATTTGCCTTGAACGCGAATGGAGGATAAAAAAAAAAAAAAAAGAAAAAAAAGAAAAGAGGGGAGAATCTATAAAATAGCGCGCGTCGATACATCTTAGTCGGTGCATCGGTGCGTGACAATGCGGTAAGCCAGAACTGTCACGCTGTAAGGGAGACAGGATCGTAAAACTAGGTCCGGGGCTTATTTAGGGGTGGGTATGATGGTCGCCCATAATATCATGTCGTCGTCCAAGAAAACGAAGAACGCGAAGCGTACGAAGGAGGGAAGAAGAAAGGAAACAGGTCTGAGCGAGCAAGGGGGAAAGTGGTGTAATAACTCTGTCTGTGAAAGCCTCGTCGTGAGTTCATTAGTTCCGTACCGACGCGCCACAATGCCGGTTTAGTCCGCGGTTAGGACTTTGCTCGGAAACGCCACACGACGCCGATAAATTCAGCGAGTTTATCCGCAGATTCCGCGTCGAAGCGTCACATCACGCCGGAATATTACATCGCACACTCTGTGTGTACGTGTGTGCGTGTGTGTGTGTGTGTGTCAAATATGATTTTATGAGCTGAACACAACACGTTGTAGAAATAACTTCCTAAGTAGGTTCATTTATTTCAAATGTAACTTACAAAATCCTTCGGAGAGAGAGAAAAAAAATAGAATGTTCGAAACTTACTTCAGATATAATCCGAGTACATTTTTTTTCGAGTTAGGAGTACAATATTTTTTCTCTCTCTCCCTCTTTGTGGCGCGCAACTATAGCGACACTGTAAAAATGCGGCCGTGCGAATAGATTAAATAACGGAGCGTAATCCCATCACCAACAACGCGCGCCTATCCCGCAGAATTCTCGCACATGCGGATACTCGTAGCCGGAAGCCGATATGGATCCGTGGGTATAACGAACGTCAAAATATGTGCGAGAGAGGTTTAGCCGGGCGCGCATAATCTCCGAGCCGCGCGCGCTCTGTCGCAGCTGCGCGCACGCAGCGTGCAATCGTCCCGAAGTGATTAAGAACACCGTGTTCTCTGTTCTAGAAGGAGTCAATGTCGCTTACGCCTGCGAGGGCAAGATGTTGGAAATGCAGTGCCAGGAGGGTCACCTGATCCGCATGGTGCGGGCGAATTACGGTAGATTTTCCGTCACGGTGTGCAACGACGAGGGAGAAACCGAGTGGAGCGTCAACTGTATGGCGCCCAAAACCATGACCGTGCTGACCGACGAGTAAGTAGTGCACGCGCCAATTTTTCACATATCTGCTGTGACCGACTTCATTCAATCTGTCCTGCGCACTCTGATTTTCCGTTCCTTTGATCCGATTCCTCTGGGAAATGCCCGCGGGCAGAGCTGATAAGAAATTCTTTGCGTTCTCGCAAAATGCGACGCGCGAACTTATATGTTTGTCTCGAACATTGAAACAGTTTAAAAAAATTAAATTCTAATAATTCAGTTTCTTGTAATTTCATGTCGATTGGGACGCGGTTGTAAACCTAAAAAAAAAAGTAATTTTATCGTCGATAAAATTCGTCGATAAAATTCAAGCTCTGTTGTACGTGAGAATTGTTGCACAGATAATTTTTTATTGAAGAATTAATTAATTTCTCTCTTTACAAGCGCAAATATAAATTTTTAACAAGAATGAACGTTCGGAAAGCGAATCTTTTTACATATTCTTACAATTGCGAAAATTACTGAGACGAACGTAATTAATGGAATTTCTATCTATAACAGAGCGTGATCGTCAATCGATCTTAATTATTCCAAGAGACTAATGAGACATGTAACTGTAAAAAACAGAATGTCGAGAGAAATTCGCGTCTTCAAGTTTTTGTTACACACGCTGGAAAAAGCTAACACTGCGTATTGATCGCCGAAGTACTGCTTTCCACTTTTTTTTTTTCTTAATATAAAGCATAACGCAATAAATGTCATGTCGGGATCGAACAGTAAATTTGTAGTATTGAACATAATGTTCAGCTCTGCTCGCGCGGGACGCCCTGCGAACGATCCTTCGCAAGGATCGTTTATCCAAACGGGGGACAATGAATAATGCACGACGCTCGTAAAAACGCAATCGAATAATCGTGTAATTACTTATCGATGAAATGATGGAGCGCAATCTCCTCTTATTGCAATCAATTCTAAATGTAACGTCGTTGGCAAAAAGAAAAAAAAAACAAGCCGCATATGTATCGGATTTATTTGTTCCTTGTCCTCGGTCTTGTCCTTGCGAAGGGTGAGCAAGGTCGTTTCTACTTCTATCCCTCTTTCACCATTTCTCTTTTGTTTTTCTCCTTTACACCAACAAAATGGAGCATAGAAAAAAAAGGGGGAACATGGGGATAAAGAGAAAAGAAAAAAAAATTCGGGCGAGGAAAACGAGGTCGGTAGGCGAACCGCTTCACATGGTTGAGCGAACTGGCCAATTGCTGGACCATTGAAGAGCGCGTTTCGCGACGGATCGGTTAGGAAGAATCGCAGAGAGTATCAGCGATAGCTTCGCTATCACGGTCCTCGCGTAAATCCGCTTCGTGCCCCTCGCCATCGCGAAAAATATTTATTGATTCTGGATGTCGATCTTTTTACTTGGAAAACGAAATAAAAGATGAAGAACGGTAATAAAATCTTGTGTGGGTAATCTTTCAAAACGGTGGGAAACAGAATCGGAGGGAGGGAAGGGGGGATTCGATGGATATTTTTTTTTTCAGTGATCGACTTCCATGCAAGTGTCTTGAAGAGGCGTAACTAGGACGAAAATGATGATCAAAAACTGGACGAACAAAGTTTTTTTGTCTTCGCAAAAACATACGATTAATTTGTTTGCCAATCGGAATGTTGTTGTTGAAATAACAACGTGTGTACAGTAGTTCCTCGATTGATATATTCAAAATTTCACCTCACTTGATCTTCTCCTCACAAATGTCCCGCTCATTCTCTTTGGCGGTCTTGTTCTTTCCCGAGCACCCGAGGTCTTGAAAAATAAACAAGCCCGAAATCTTGTAGACACAAATCGAGGAACTATTGTATCGCTAAGGTATCGGAGAGAAAATAATACCCGGAACCTAGTTACGCTTACACTATTCATTCTCAATGTTTTCTGTGTCTCGATATCACAGATCGATCACTCTAGACTTAGAGAATCTGTGTACACACACGGAACTCACATCTCATTGAAACATACATACTCTTGACTCCTACCTGTTTGTTTTATTTTCGTCATTATTATCAGCCCATAATTCACAACGCCAAAAACATGGTTTACCTGACATACTCTTCTTGGTTGCATGATTAAGTGTGTAGCTTTATATTAGATAAGCAGAACAACTTACGCATATAATATATATATATACATAGGTACACATTTAGTACGTAATAAAAAAAAAAAACAAAAAAAAACAACAGTGTAAATAGCAGAGAGTATGTAAATTATGTGAAGTCTTTTTGATAGAGAATTTTCACGTCGCACGAAGCATCGATCGAACGTCGTACAATTTGTAAGTCGGAGAGAAAGGAAAAAAAGTAGATAAAATTACTTTTGATAAAGTTTAAATTTGTTTCAGTGATTGATTAATAACTGAGTAAAATCAAAATGTAATTACAAATATCTTGATTGGTACCGGAGAGAGATAAACAGAGAGATAGAGAGTGAAGGAAATCTTATCTAAAAATATTCTCAATAAACACACAAATTAATATTGACACCATTAATTTGTGCGGCTTCCATCATATCCGGAAAGCGAATCCACGCATTTATTATATCTATTATATTGTAATAATGTTACAATATAACGGATAACACAAATCTTGATGAATTATGCCAATTAATTGTAATAATTAATTCAGGAAAACTTTTAATAATAAATATAATTTTGTATAATATTTGAGAGAGAGAGAGAGAGCAATTAAAATTTTTTGCAATATTCCGATTATGCAGTTTTGCAGAATTATAAAGTAACTAATTATGATATTCTAATAAGAGTTTTTTATTCTTACAAGTACGTTAATATAAAATATATTTTTAAAATTATCTCACGACACGCTGTATGATTGAAATTCACTGTTTTAAATCTTTTTCATCTTTCCCTTTCTCTCATCTCAGTGCAAGCTTTTTTTTTTTTTTTTTCAAATCGATACTTTTACGAGAGGAAAATATACGGAACGATATCGTCTCGTACTCTTCTCTAATAATGAAGTATCAAAAAACGAAAACTTCATAATATCCGTTCGCTATTTGCTGTTGAGATTTCTCGACGTTCATTTGTATCGAAAGAAAGGCGAGTCATCTCGCGTTTTCAAAGAGCGTTTTAATCTTCTCCGGAATATTCTGTGTGTTTTCCTCTCCTCGTATTCGTATCGATAACGGAAATAAATTTATTATTCTCTGCGATCGTCTTTGATGCGCGATCTATTCTTCATTACAATCGTAGCGCGTTTGATCGATCGATGCTTTCGTCGGCGTTTCTTTGCGGAATCGCGTTTGAGAGTCAGAGAGAGAGAGAGAGTTTACCTATTCTATCAGCGAACGCTCGAAATCATAATTATCTCGACGTCAATTTTTTACGCGGCCATTTGCGACTCTTCTCCAACAACATTTGTATTAATATTTTAACACGACAAAAATAGTTTCGATACACATGTATATGTGTCACTCACAGCATGTGTCCCTGTCTGCGCTAACAGACAGTATTAATCCGCGCAACATCTCTGGTTTTTTGCGTATGATGAAATAAATTCCGCGGCACATTCTTCGTTTCTAAAAATTATTAATAAATGCATTTCATATTTTACACATACACACACACACACATACACACATGTGATAAAATTTAAAACGATCATTAAATTGTCATGTGGCTCGTATATCAGCGTATTAGCGCGTTATTGTAAAATAACGAGAAATCTAGGGTAGGTAGGTTGGCTTTTTTTTTTACTTTTTGTTTTTAATATTTGATAGACTTGTTACCGAGAGATTCAATATTTACTCTTTCGATCAATTGCAACAAACAATATCTTGTTGATTAAGTAGAATGAATGAATTATTAATTTGAGGTTGCAAAAAAAACGATTCGATTGACAATTCGATCGAACATATTAAAATCGAACGTGTGTTTCCTTCTCGGTTTGTCATTTGTTTCTGTATAATTGCGTTTTATTGTTAACAATCTCGCTTCTCTCAACGCTCACAAACATGTTCGGAGCAAGGGGATTTTCCTTCTTTAAGAGCATGTTTATTTGACTATTTGGTGAGGCAAGACGCTTGGGTTACCTAATTTCCCGCCCGAAATCCTTTTAACACCTTAACTGAGCGACTTCACGTTTGATCATTGTATTAACACGTTATATAAGCCATTGTTTACAGCAATTGCTTGTGTTACATATCCACGTCACTTTGTAAATGAAATTTACATTTCACGCTTGAAGCGTCAAGAACTAATAAAACGGCTAATAAAAATGCGGCATCTAATCTATGTACAATATTTCTTTAAATAACATTTACAGTTACTTTTCCAATTACTCCAGTAGCATTTTTGGTAGTTGTTTCTCATTCAATCAGAATTGTGTCGATTTTGGTCGAAGATTCGAACAAAATAGAGCAAGCGTAGTATCTGTTAAACGCAGGTTGTGTAGATGTAAACAACTACATAGGTGCTAATAAGTATGTTGTATCATTAGTTACAAATTAAAATTTTCTGATTCTCTTAGTAGATACATGTGACACTGTTATAATTACGTTATAGTCTCTAACAAGATCTATAGTTGGAAACAATTTTTTTTTTTCTGCGACTATATCTTTGTTCTACATCTATCTTTCTCGCTGCTCAATATCTTGCTGCAAAAGTGACAAAACGAGCGATCGCTCGAAGGCCGTCACAAGAGACGGCGTCGTACATAATTTCGCATCGCGCTTGTATCGTGCGTATATCGGGAAATTTCTACGTGTCGCGTCGGCAAATAATCGAGCGCGTGGCCGAGAGACTCCGGATCGAAATCATTCGGGAATTCCGTTTAATCGCGCCGCTAGCGAAACCAATTGCGGATTAATCGTCTGCCAGTTGCAAACGGGACAAAGCCGGGGCAGAGTGTCGGCGCGAAAGGGGTAAAGACCGTGGGAGGCTCGAGCCGTGGCGTCCGAGATTACGATTTAAGTGAAATTGGTAGATAACACAGAGAAGAGGAGCAGTGAGGGCGAGGGAGAGGGGACGTAACTTCGACGCAACGATTAA